TCGTCAACCTTCTCTGTTTGTTTATGTCTCTAAGAGAAGACAATTGTTCGGCTGATTCTTGTACCGGTAACCCGGAAACTCTTTTGCAAGAACGACCAAAACCTAACCCTAGAATCAAACTATAACCCTCTCTGTCTTTTTCTTACTCTTTTGCTCCCAATTTATAACCCCTCTCCGTCATGTCTTCTCCTACCAATATTCGATTTCCTACTTCCAACAGAATTCATCCTAATTTTTTTTTTTGTAGTCTAATCAGAATTCGTCCTAATTTATAAACCTACTTTTCCGACATTAAGCTTATATGTTTAGTCTTGTTGACCTCATCAATCGGGCCTATGTTTGGATTATTAAAACTTAATATAACAATGGATGTCATATAGTAATACTGTTAAAAATGCATGTATAATCTGAATTTTTTACTTTTTCTTTCTTTTAAAAAATCTTGTTTCTTGTTGTTTTGGGTTAAAAGTATTTGATTCAAATGTAGATTTATCAAACTTATTTCTATATGTTTTGTTATAAAATTCAAGAATAATGGGACCATTACTTTTTTAGTTTTTATGTGAATTTTTTTTTATCTGTCTTATATATTTAAAAATGTGGTATTATAGCACTTTCATTTTTTTCTTTTATACTTTTGAAAAACTGAAATAGAACATTTTGAATAAAATCATATATTTCAAATTTTCACCTTATTTTCTCATATTTAGTGAGATAGTTCAATGTCCTTTTAATAAAGTAAGATATATATTTTTTTTCTTTAGACTTCCAACTTCTTAACAATCGTTTGACACTCAATTTTTATGCTTCAATAACTAACATCAATTAGTTATTTTTCCTTCTTTGATTCTGTTATATTGTTTAATCTGTATCATTTGCTATTATATTGATATTCATTTCACATATTTCTAAACTTTTGAAATTTAATATGTAAACATTTATCGTTATTATAAACTCATAATTTTTTATTACTCTAAAATGAAATATAATAGAAAAATATATTAATTGTTTTAATTTCTATTGACAATAAAAAAATACATAAATAATCTTCTATGTACTACTTTTAGTCACTTATTTACTCATTTTTTGTTTTTTATTTAATTGAAAATTTTAATTGT